TTCCACTGACTTGGTTCCAGAAAGAGGTGTTCAGCTTAATTTCTCACATCTTAAACCAGCTGTTCTGTAGCTTTAAGAGTGAGACCAAGAGGCACCTCAGCATTGTGACAAGATGCAATGGCAAAGTAGAGCAGGCCAAACACCTGAGCCCCATGGAACGCACACACAGGGTAAATGCAGATGACACAAGGCCAGTCATCGCCTCCTTGTGAGCGCTGTTTGTGTGATCTGTAACCTCCTTGCTGCGCTTCTTTGTTGTGAGCCCTAATAAACTGCATCAGGAAAGTATTCCGAGTTCAAGCACGGAAGCGTGGCGCTAGGATCAGGATTCATGGATGTTGTTTCTTTTCCTTGTGGATTTTAATATCATGAAAGAGGTTCCTGACCACACAAACAGAGACCTTCAAAGTCTGAGTGGCATGTGTCAGCTGAATCTGAGTTGTCAACCGTCACCTGAAACTGTGACTGAAATTAAAATGGATTTGAGAGGATTTAAAGTTGCTTCTACGTCAGGCCAATTCAGCAACAGAATCTAGGTTGAGAATAGTCTCGCGACCAGACATCTTGAGTTCTGCAATTGGGCCTCATTCGCCAACCGTTCGAGAAGAAATTTCTTCTGAAAGGGGAACCCCACCAATTTTTTTTAAATTCTGCATAGTTCAACGATTAAGATGTAATGTAAAGTCATTCAGAATAGTTTGGTGTGAAATGCTCTGTTCTAGAGATACTTAGAGTCAGAATTGCTCACAGTGGTAGTGATAGGAACCAGACGTCCACCTCTAAAAGCTCCTTTACAGAAAGGCATTACATGAAATGGTTATGAATTCACTGCCTGATGTCTGACATTGTTGTACAACAGGTTTGTGATAAAATTTTGGCTTAAAATGTATTTTAATCCATTCACGGTGGAGGGGTACATGCAGGGTGTTGTGTTGTGTGACAAAATAGTCCCCAAAGAAAACGTATTGTTTCCAGATTTATGACTATTTTACTGTCAACATTACATATAAAAACTCAGAAGACATGTGCAAGTTCACTGGTGGTTCTGGATAGTAAATAAAGTGGCTTTATTTGTGTTGTAGACATGGTGACCCCTGGTTCCCATCACCACCACTAAAGTAATCCAAGTCTGCAAGTTACTCTACAGTGAAACATTTCATGTCAACCCATTCTGAATGACTTTACATCTCAAGGACTGGATTATTCTGAAATTCTGAAAAACTGGTGGAATTCTCCTTTAAAACACTCATGCAGTTTTCAAGGATTCTGACATTCACCAATGTTAAAGTGAAGCAAAATAATATTTTTTTTACAGTTGTGCATATAATACAGAACAGAATGAATCAGTGAGTCAAAGCTTCAGAGTAAGAAAACTAAGGAAAGGCAGCTCTCAAGTTTAACTACTGTTGACAGAAGATTTTAACAGAGTGGATCTGATTGGAGCCGATGGTTCACTTCACTTCCAAATTAATTCCCCTCTGAAGGCTGTCAGTAGGGCATCCGCTTATATGACCATCCAGAGAGCCACTTACTGTCCTTCAAATATGATTCTGCGTATGTGCGCGAGTTCATGTGCTTTTTGGTAAGCATCCCATCTCTCAAACATAATGTGCAAAAGGTGTGCAAAAAATTTATCACAGGAAATGGAACATAGAAATGGAAATACAGGGTGTCCCAAAAAAAGCTGACATCATTTCATAGTCTAATAACAGCCAATTCTCCCTCAAATGATCTCAAATTTTAACAAAATGTGTAAAAACTAACCAAGTTTAATTTTTACTGTTTTTTTTTCAGGTTGTAGAATGGCGTTTACTAGAAACGAAAAGGCATCTTGTGTGTTAGAACATGCTCAAACAGTCAAACAAGAGTGTGCATTGTCTTGTATTGTTCAACATGAAGCCTATTTAATTTCGTTTGCCCGGGACATGTAGTTACTCAGATATTCAATCTCAAATGTCGTCAATTTTTTTGGGACACCCTGTATATAGGACACTAAATCGGACGGAGAAGTTTTAGGTGTGGTCTCCTCTCTGGTATAAATGTGTAATTGATGGTAATGAATAGAATAACACTTTGTAATGTAGGTTGTGCTTCGGACCCCTTCCCCGAGCTGATGAATCTGACGATTGCGAGTGTGTTGAAAGAGTATCCAAAGGTCTAAACTGCTGAAAGATGGTTCTTCTGAGGATATGAGTGAATTATCTACTGTTGTCGTCATGTCTTCATCAGTATAATGCTGATTTTGCATTTGAGACCACACTGAGCCAGACCTTCTTTCTAAGCCTGTGCGTGCGATACTACGTAAAGACGTATGACGTGGTCCAAAAAACTGACCCAACGACTAACATTAAATCCTTATTTCAGGCTTTTACAGGGAACTCACGACAGCAGATGTACACTATACAGTTTTAACAAAATCTTACATAGTGCTGCTTTAAATGCATGTAAAAGAAAATGATTTTGATTAGTCTTTTCAGAAGTATGCCTTATTCGTTTGATTGACTCGATGGAAGCAATTAACATGCTCATGATTACTTTTCTGAACAGGATAAAATTACATGTTGCGGTTTGAGTTCCAGTCTCTTTTTCTGAACATGCCCTTTGTGTCTGTCATTTGTTAGAAAAATGACAGACATCCCTGGAGAAGAGGAGCTGATCCCACAGCAGTGGCTACATAAATACAGATCATCTATCTTCTGGAATTTGAGACTAGGTTGAAAAAAACCTCATTAAAGTTCAGCTCTGTGAAGATCCTATTACTGATCTGACACGGTGTCAAGACATTCTCTCTGAAATATCAGTTTTCAATTAGACCCACCAAAGAGATTTTCAGTTACCTTAAGCTTCCAAAACCAAAACAGCATGAGATTCATGCATAATTAATGGCTGGTGACTCATTATTTGTGTAATCCATCCTGAGACTTAAAAAAATAATAAAAAAAAAGACACTTCTTTGAAAGCATAGCCTTAAAGACATTCTCATGTTGGTGAGCTACTGGTGTGCAGCACATTAATCTTTCTCAACAAATCGGTTGAACGATCTGTGCTTTCTGTATAAAAGACCTCTGAAGTCCAGTTATCATTTTGCAGCCAGCAAAGTCTCCAAATTTGCCTTTGGATCCTATGGAGCCCCTACAATGCCACTGTGAAAAGAAAAATAATAATAATAATAATTTAAAAATTGCAATGCCATTGCATTCTCATTCATGCAAAAAATGTGCATTTGCTCAAACTTTCTGTTCACTTGCAATAGTTTCGCATTCTCTTGCAAAATCTTTGCATTCCATTTTGTGTTACCTTGCAAAATTCATTGCATTTGCAAGGGAGTGCAAAATCATTGTGAGGGAATGCAAAAATTATTGCAAAGAATGCAATGCCTTTTTTTTTTTAAACCATTGCCTCTTAGGGGCTCCACAGGACCCTCTGAGGCCATTAAAGAAGCAAGACATGCAAGTTAACCCTGCAGTGCAGGACACTGACATCATAAAGTGGCTTTTAGATGACTTTTTTGTTCTCTTTTTCAAGTTTGTAGCAACATACACTCCAGCTGAAAAATGCTCCTCTAGCCTGCGCAGTGCACTCCACACTTTAAAAATACATGTTTACGTTAAATATGTCAACTTTTTCGCTCTGTGCCACAAACAGCGGCATACATCAATTAGCTGACCGATCAATAAGGAGAGGACACCTCTCTAGTCACCGAAAGAGGAAAAGCTAGTTTTTGGACAACCAGAATTGTACAACACTCAGCAAAAAGACTAAAACAAGTTTTTTTTTTTTTGTTTTTGTTTTTTTTTAAATAAGCCATACTGGCTAAAACCTCAGGGATACTGGCTAAAACTTTTGGGATGTGGCCAAAACCTCAGGATTACTGGCCAAAACTTCTAGGATGTGGCCAAAACCACTGGGATATGGGCCAAAACCTCTGGATTAATGGCCAAAACCTCTGGGATGTGGACAAAACCTCTGGGATACTGCCTAAAACCTCTGGGGTATTGGCCAAAACCTCTAGGCGCCACAAAAAAGTGGCATTCATCAATTAGCTGACCAATCAATGTGGAGAGGACAGCTCTAGTCACCAAAGAAGGACAAGCTAGTTTTCGGACACCCAGAACTGTACAACATTCAGCACAAAGACAAACAATTTTTTTTTTTTAAGTCATATACATTGTTGTTTCTCAAAAGGAAAATCTGCTTAGACCTAAGATTCCTGATATGGGCTGACTACAGAATAAAGAATTTGCTCCTCCCACTTTTCAAACACACTGGTTGGCTGCCAAATCAGGAGGCTAATAATGGACATAATTGAGATGAACTGGTAAAAGATATTTTAAAATGGAGCAAAACAAAAGAACAGATTTATGCATGATACGAACTAAAATGGATCAGTAAATCAAAGTGTCAGCTTTAGCTGCTGCAGGAAAACAAAGTAGAGGAAGTGCTTTTTAGGTTTACTTATACTGTGCATCATTGCACCATTAGTGCCAATAAACTCTGAGGTCCAGCACTCAGTGATCCACCAGACCTCACTTGTTTGTCTTCTCATAGATGTGTCGTCTGCATGATCAGAGCAGCTCTGTTTAATCTCACTATACCTCACCTAAACGTCCACTACAGGCCATAACTCCACACTCAAATTAGGAGCTCTAGGTGTCTCTGCTCTCAGTGGGTTTCCACTTGCTTTTAGAGTTTTTCTGACTCAGTCAGGGTTTCTGGAGACCCTCTTTAAGACAATATGCACTGTACACAGTGCTGTACAAACACAGCTGAACTGAACCGAATAAAGCTGAATCAAAGCCACAAATACGATTCTCACTCCAGCACAGCTGTTCACTCTCAAGCGGGGCCTTGTTTATATGGCTCTCCAGCCAATCACAGCTCAGGGAGCGGGGCTTGTCCGAATACGGGTGGGGAAACAACCCCCTACCCGTTACCCGGCTCGTTCCTGACACCTGCTGGTACGAAAGGGAAAAGACCGAGAGCGAAGTTCAGCTTCACTCGTGTTCACCTTCTTTATCGCGACACGCGCGCGCGCCTGTTTTGGAGATCTCCGCGCCGTCTCCGCCTCGCGCGATTTAGGTGCTTTGTTTCGCGAGGCAAAACGCGAGAGGAAAAAATGGACAAATATAGGTAAGAGCTATAAATATTATTAGTGATATGCATACATTTATCCGCAGGTATGTTTTATCATATTTCAGCACTGAAAAAAGTTTCCAGTGAGTTTAAATAGTTTTGTTTGGTCAGTTTTGTTAATTCTGTGTGACCACTTTGTTCACCGCTTTGTGCTTCAAATCGAAGTTTTTCGGAGGCAAGAATTGATAAAATGGTTAGTCTGCTTTAAAATGAAGGCTGGTGCTGTTTTTCGAACAGATGCCACCCCAGTAGTTCTTTGGTCGAATCTCAAACGGCTCCCTTCTCCCTATATTGGTCACTGCACAGGTCAGGAAACTTCATGAGCCTTCTGCACCCAAATGTGTTCTATGGTTTAGAGAAGGGGTCTTGCAGCTTGTGGCTGAATATAATGCTTTCTATTCAACAGATAATGTACTATTTGGGTGTATAGGCCATTATTTTATGACCTACATAGGGTACTATTTAGGCAATATGGAACCATTTGAGATTCAGAATTAGATATTGATGACAGTTTTTGCTTTATTGACCAAAAACCTCTTGGGAACTGGCTAAAACGTCTGGGATACTGGCTTAACGTTCTGGGGTAGAGGCCAAAGCCTCTGGAGTGCTGGCTAAAACTTATTGGATGTTGGCTAAAATCTCCAGGATACTTGTTGAAAGTTCTGGGATGCTGGCTGTAATGCCATGGATGAAAGCTAAAAATGAATAATAAACTGGCAAAAACAACTAGAACAGAGGCCAGAAGTTCTGGAATATTGGCTAAAACAGCCTATAGAAACTAAATAAATATATAATCTGCAAATTATGGAGTTTTTTTTGGTCAAATTGCCTGATACACCACACTTAGATTATGTTGATAGTGTTAAAAATGTATTTTGTCAAATCGTCTAAGATTCAACCAGTGTTTAGATAACATAACTGGGGTTTAGTTGTTGCTAAATATCTATTGGAGACCAAAAAAATGTTAAGTTTTAGCATAAATAACAAAAAACTGGCTTCCTTAAAACGTCGAGCTCACAGAACTTCTAATAGGTTAACAGAACAATAATCAGGGTGTTATATTCTGTCAACATATCATTTAATCTTTAACAGTCAAAATGTTAAGGAAGCCAGGTTACATACTTTTAATTTACTTTTGTAATTTAAACATTTACTTTTAAGTTAAAACATTTTTCCTCTGTACCTGAGTAGTTTTATGTTTACTGTGTACTTAGCCCTTAAATTTCAAACTTATCAGTAACTGGACTTACTAGTGGGTTAAGAGGTTTTAAGGGGTTAAGACATTTTTACAGTGCACAGGCACCTACAGCCATTCAATGCAAAGATATGTAGCCCAGCATAAAAAAATAAAATAAATAAATAAAAACCCACACTGTATCCTCATGGACTACTGGATGATCACATAGAAACTTGTCAAGTCTGTGTGCCTATTGCATGTTATCTGTACATATTTGAGCCACCAGTGTGTTAATAGAGCACTGACCCTGGCGCTGACTCTCATAGCTTTTAAAATACATGTCATCATAGGTTATGGTGATCTATTACACACATATGCATGCATGTTCTCTATACTACATTATAGTGTAGTTTAACATTCATCCAGCTTCTGATGTCAGTGTTTGATTTAAAAGTTCATTTTTGCTTCATGTTGTGTCTGTTTTAGAGCCTGGTCTTTGGTCGCTGCCTCCATTTGCTCTAATGCTTCTATGATTTATGCACAATCTGAGCTCAAATCCCATTTCCCCTCCCTGTTTCAGTGTAAACAGTCATGTCAGTGTTACTCAGTGGGCACTTTTATCTCTTTTAGAGACACGTTTGTGTACATTTCGTGCTGGTAAGACCAGCTTTTAGAGACTTCTTGTGCATGAAAAGTTACAGGCTGCTTGTTCATGCTCCGATATTGCTACACGTGTTGTGGTCTTTGTTTTAAAGTGCCCATATCCTATCCTTCATATACTCACATCACAAGAACAACAAATTCCAAACAGGCTGTTTTTTTGCAGCTTTGTTTCCACTGTGTGGACTGCAGGGTGAATGTTATGTTTAGAAACTTTATGTACTACAAAAAATGATTTGAAAAATCTAATGTTTGCCTTAGAAAACAGATTATTATGTAATCTGAACATAATAGTCAGGATCCATTAACCTCACAAAAGAGAAAAAGGATACATAACAGTGAACGCAACCTCCATAGACCTGCTAACCATTTATGTAGATCCTGTGTGCAGCTCTAGCTGTAGTTCCAGTCCTGCCCTTGGTAAAGAGCATTATCAAAGCTTGCTTTGATTAAACTCACTGTAGTTCATAATTGCACAATAAGAAACTTCGCTGTTTTTCAGGCCTCAAGGATTACAGTGGCACATTTCCATTTACATTTTAGCAGTTGAATTGTATGTTTGTGCAATTTGAATAAATATAACTAAGTAATTGAAGGGCTCCTTTCCAAAATGCTGTAGATTCATTAATAACAATCTTGAGTAGAGGGAGTTTATTTATTTATTTATTTTTTTTAAAGAATAATAGTTGATGTTAATGGAAAAGACATTTTTATTTCTCTAATAAAAGTGACAAACCATATCACTGATATTTCTTGTATGCGTGAAGCCCTCTCTCAACAATGATCATGGAAGAAAGAAAACTGTCTAATGCAGACTCTCCAAAATATACATGCATACTGAAAGCAATAATAAAGGCATGTGTCAACTTTATCTAATTGTACATACATAACATTCTGCACACATTCAGAAAGCTTAGCTTAGTAGAAAAGCAGCGAGTCCTGGTAAAAGACACCTTGCACCCTAAATGTATGTATAGAAAGTAGAGGTGGGTGATATGGTAAAAATATCATGTTGCGATACTTTTTTCACACTATTTATTTTTTCAAACATCTGATCAGCTGAAACAGAAAAAATAACCAGTAGTGCTACATTTTAAAAAATAACTCAAAAACCAAACAATGATTTTTATTCTATATTGGGCATACTGTACTTGCTCTTTTTATAGTGAAACATGCAGTGGGCCACTGTTCTACAAGTACTGACAATATCCAAAATATATTCAGAGAAGTATATTTTATTGTATTGATGTAATTTATCCAGATATATCTTATATATACATATAAATACATATATAATCATATTGTTCAGACACAGTAACTATGACATTCTCCATCAAGCACCATGCTCAATGCATTAAAACATGCTTTATCCACTTTACCAAGCACAATTACATTCACTTATTCTATTCACATTGCATCATAGTCTATGCTGCTGTCATCGTAGTTAGTACAGGAGTTTCAACAAACTCAAACTTTTAAGGCCGCCACTTTTTTAAAATTAGAACAAATGCTTTTCTTCAGTGTAGCGTTCTAATCTGCTGAGGCTGGTACAAAAGCTTTAGCTCAGTTTCCCTTATCTCGGTGCCTGGAGGAAACCCCCCCTGTGGAAAGATAAAACCTTACAGAACTCTGTTTCTCTCTCTTCTTACTGAAAGATTACTTTCAGACCCCATTATACAATGAACGCAACTGTACTTGTTTGCGTGGTACAGCTGATCGGAGGAGTTTAGAGGCTGAACCTTTTCTGAGGCCAAAGTCTAAAGCAGGAGTATCAAACTGAGGTCCTGGAGGACCACCACACTTCAGAGATGAATGCTTTCCTTTTATCTCTCTCTTGATGCGTCAACACCTTGGTAATGAGCTGAATCAGATTGAATGCTAAACTCTGCAGTGCCGGGACCCTCTAGGATTGCAGTAGTAGGGAAATTGGCATATTTGAAATTCTTTGCGCTTCACCCCACCCCCCCATAGTCCTGTAGCTTAAAGAGGGGTGTAGAAATAGGCAATCGAAGGCCATTCAGGCACATCAGTGAGGACACTGATTTCAGTATTGGAAAATGAACATTGACATTTATAGACTCTTCTGAGGGTCTTTCATTTATTGTCTTTCACAGAAGCCACCGTCAGTGTCCTAAACTAGACATCTGGGTGTACCCTATCAGAGAAAAGTGGGTGGGAAGGGTAGGGGCTTATGTTGTGCATGATCAAATGCCTGGGCTTTTCTGAGGCTCATCATAAATTCTACAGGGTTGTGCTTTTTAGGGTTTTTGACATTTAACACAAAGTATTTAAAACAGTGAATACACAATTTCACAAATCGGTTTAAATTTTCTCTATTCAGACCTATGAATTGAAAATCCTGAAATCCTGAAATATGCAGGTCATTTCACCCCGAATCACCACATCCCAAACTTCAAAGTGAAATGTGAGATAAAGGAGATATTAAGGTATCAGAGATGCTTTTTTGAGTGATGTTTTAGAATAAAAATGCTCAATTCTGCTCTGTGATCTACTCAGCTTCCAGCCCTAATCTAATACACCTGATCCACCTAATCAGTAATGAAGTCAGGAACATATCAGAGGGAGAGAGAGTTGGAATTAAACTCTGTAGATCCAAAAGAATAAGAGAACCATGTTTGGGTTTCAAAAGCCAACCAGCCTTAGGCCTGAATGGGGTGGACAATATAGAAAAAAAAAAAGTAACAATGATACTTTAAGACATTTTCATGATACAAGATGCTTCATAATATTTCATTTTTATTCTATATTCGGCATACTGTGTTGCACTAATCCAGTCAAGCAGGTCTAATTTTGCTCTCTTTATAATGAAACATGCAATTGTACTTGTAGAACAATGACCTAATATCTGCAATATATTCAGAAAAGCCCATTGTACTGTAATTTAATTACATAATTTTATATCATTTTAGAATTTTATAGTAGTTTAATTATTTGGAACGGACAACTAAGAATCAGTAGTGCCACATTTAAAAACAATACTTCAAAAAACTATAGGTATGCTTCCATCCACTTTCTGCACAAATTGCAGGCAATAAAATTTGTGATTTTTTTCCTGTTTCCATCAAACTTACTTTTAGCAATAAAAGTGCTTCAGTTAATGACGGTGAAACAGTTGCCACTGTCTTGACATGTTTCCATCTTTAATTTCATGCATGTCAGCTTGTGTTCCCTGTTTCCCTGACAATATTTAGCTTCACCATAATTTTATTTTGGGATTTTACTTTATATGTTTTATTTTATTAATATTTGGTTTCATTGGAACGGTTATGAGAGGTCATGTTTCTCTGCCATATAGAGCTGTTTCAGCACATTTATAAAGGCTCTAGTCTTTTCTGGACATCTCTCTCTCTCTGTAAGAGCTGAAATGTGACATTCCTGTTAAAGACACTCTCGTCTCTTCTTCAGACCAGTTCTACCTGTCTACCATGCTGTTTGTGTTTACTGTTAGAGACACATGAAGTCTGTCAAGACACTACATTTATAAAACACTACCAGTTTTTGGCGACATTTCAGGCATCAGTAAACAAGTTTTCCACTAAAGTTGAACAGAAAAGAGTTACACGACACTACAAAGTTGTTGAAGTGTTAAAACATTTCACAAAAAATCCTTTGGATGGAAGCATAGCCTGGGTGTACATCGATTTGCATACTGCACTAAATCCAGTTAAATAGGACTAACCATACATAACAGTACATACAGCCGCTACACTTAATGAACAGTCAGCTCAACTTCAAATTATAAGGTAACTGATTACACTGCTTTTCTTGAGTTAACTCCGCTTGAGAACATCAAGAGTGTAGCTGAGAGCCGCTGGTCTGATACGGCCAGAGAAGCCTGAATAAATCTGATTAAAGAATTACGACATTCCGAAACAGAATTTCAGATAATCATCGGTGTGAGTGAATCGGTTCTGATATACTCTATAACTGAGTGGCTCATGGCGAACAGCCAGCAGAGACCAGAAATAATTCAGACTGAATTGCTTTAATAATTCATGCTGGATTAAAAAAGATCTGTCTCTCTACAAATGAAAAGCCACATAATATGGCCAATTAACTGTGGAGCTTCTTGTGTGTGGGAAGCTGAAAAATATGTAATTAATTCACTTTTTTTTTTTTACATATGTAATTAAGTCACTTTTCATAATGATCACTTCCCTTGACCTCAAAGCACTTTGGAAAATGGACAGTAATACCTAGAATAAACCAGGAATACATGTGTTTGAAAGTGAAATGGCTGTTTTTGTGCTTAGTTTAACTGTAGGTCAGTATTAGTTTTGCAATGCCAAAGAGAAGTTAATGCCTTAACACTTACAGTAAGCCTTTTTTTTTAGCAAATGAAGGATAAACAATACTGTCAAAGGCATAGAACATGTATACCACAAGACACGCTATCCTGTTGTGGCAGTGCAGTATGCACACCTACTAACACCATGACTATGAGGAAGTGTAATAATTGACTAGACTCTGGGTTAAAGGTCTGCTAGGTGTGGCCCTGATAGACACAATAGCACACACACTGACCAGCACTGTACCTCTCAGACACACACTTATATACTCTTGTCTTATAGACACTTGTCTTACAATATATTCAGTACATAGACCCTTTAAACAGTCCCTAAACAGTAATCACAGAGCAGAATATCCTTACTGTCATTGTATTAGTATGAGATTAGCTTCAGTTTATGACCAAGTTTGATGCTTATGCTGAGAATAACACCTTGTTTCTACACTCATTGTCCATTTTATCAGCTCCACTTACCATATAGGAGCACTTTGTAGGTCTACAGTTACAGACTGTAGTCCATCTGTTTCTCTGCATACTTTGTTAGCCCCCTTTCACCCTGTTCTTCAGTGGTCAGGACCCCTATGGACCCTCACAGAGCAGGTATTATTTGGGTGGTGGATCATTCTCAGCAGTGCAGTAACACTGACGTGGTGGTGGTGTGTTAGTGTGTGTTGTGCTGGTACGAGTGGATCAGACACAGCAGTGTTTTCTAAAAACATACAAAAGGATTTAATTGCAGAAAATGTGTTTCAGGAATGACTGACGTTGAGACACATTTACTTCAAAACAATGGGGTCTAACTGTTCACCATGTGGCCATGAGGGACAGGCATGCAGTCTGACTTCCTGCTCTAAAATGCAGGGGTGTGGCTAAAATAAGGCTCCGTCTACAGACTAAAACTGTTTCGATAGTGACATGAAAACTTAGGACAGCCTTTAATTTTTTTTTATTTTAAAATGAATATGATAAATCTAAATATTTCTGTTACTAATATATAAACTTTAAAAGAAATCAAAAAGAACTTGTATTATTTTCACAAGTGTAAATTTAGGGGTTCGCGTTTGAGAGACACTTCAATAAAAAGTATTATGTAATTAATGATTTTGTATATATTTAGCTTATTACTATCTCTGGTAGTGCCTTGGGGGTGAATATACATAATCCTTGCAAATATCTAAGGTCTGAATACTTCATTGTTTGATTTTTATTTTACTGTGGGACCATGGTTTAAACTAATTCTGTGCATTGTGTGTAAAAAGTGCATGTGCAGCTGTGTAATGAAGAGGAATATGGCATGTGGGCATCATGTCCATGCATGGTTTTAAAGAGGTGGCTAGTCCCTGAAATCTGATTGGCCGACCCAAAATTTATGCCACTTTATTGGCTTCTACTGTCCAATTTTTCTCCAACCTACCACCCCCAAACCATGTTTCAGATAATTATCTAATTAGACCAGGCATGTCAAACTAGGGCCCTTCTGAGCCAGAGTGCTGCGCAGATTAGCATTTACCCTCATGTAACGCTGTGAATTCAGTTCATGAAGGCCTTGCTAATTAGCTGATGAGCTGAACCAGGTGTGTTTAATGAGGCAGTGTGCTGGAGTATGCAGTGTTTTGTCCCACAAGGACTGGTGCTTGACACGTATGGTAGATCCTCCGTACTCTAGCTGGCACACCAAGTGTGAAAAAGGACAGCACTGCTTTACTGTGAGCTGTGAAGGTGCTGAATCCAACAACACACTAGAACAGCTTTACAACCATTAAATAAGGCATGGAATCAAAATGCGACAGTGTAATGGGAGCTTTTAACGCCAGAGCTGCTACGCATGTCTAATATTTTTAGTGAAACTGCACCTTGTTTGACTAAAATGCAGTGGTGGTGTTTCAGTGGCTATGATATCAATATCATGTGTGTTGAATATCACAGAACATATTACTGAATCTTGGCACAAGTCTACAACTACGACATTAAACTATGTGTGCCGAGTTGGTCATGTAAAGACCATATAGAGATACAGAACGGGGTTAGATGCTACTATTATAAAACCTTTAAAACCTTATAAAGTTATAATGCACTTTATATACACCAATATGTGAATTCTGATCAAATGCAGAGACCTGATATCTGATTTCTCATGTACCCATCTGTCAAATGAATCAAATATTGGTTTGAATTATCGGTAAAATCGAATCATGAGTCAGATTTTCATTTATTTTTTTAACGATTATCTGCTTATACTGATATCAGGCATCCCCACTAATAGGAGTAGACATTTATGTCTCTGAGGTAATGATATTAAGATGCAATAGTATGCTAAACATTTCATGTTCAAGTAATTTCATGTTCCACCTGTTTGTTATGCGGCCTCCGTTCGTCTTATGTGACCTGGGTTTCACTGAGACAGAATCACTTTAATAGATCTTTATAACACAGACAAAGGGAAGCACAAAGGATCTGCTTATGAAACAGAAGACTTTTTTTTTTGTAGATCCACCTCCTCTGCAAGTACAGCTCTACATGTTTATGGAATTCTCACACATTCACTGACCCTGCAGTGCTTTGAGATAAGGGCCCAGACTGACCTTTTGGTCTGGTTCCTTTTTCATTGGAAGTTCTTTACGCTGGCCAAACCTTTATCTTACCTGCTAAACACTTATCTGAACTATAAACTGTTCTCATTACAACAAAAAACAGGTATCAGATTACAAGATAAGCAGCTTTCAAATGAAATTAAAGGGGAATTCCACCAATTTTACATTTTTTTTTCAATCATTAAGATGTAAATAGAGAGGTTTGATGTGAAATGTGCCATTCTAAGTCAGTGGTGGTGATAGGAACCAGACGTCTGAAGCATTTAATGCCCATAAAAGTGACCTCACAGGAAGTTATTTCATTAAACCTTTTGAGTACACTGCCTGACGTAAATACCTTGTAAAGACAACATAACAAATTCACATTTTTCTTTTTTCTTGATATACATTGTTGGGGGTGGGCTTTACATACACAAGAAATATCAATACTATATTATGGTCAATACCACCTTAATTATATGTCAGCTGTTCTTTTCAAAAATCCCCTATATTCGAAAAGGTTCTAAATGGATATATATGGCTCTTGTCGGTAGAAAACCTTGTATCTCCGTTTTTGATGTTTTTCAGTTTGACCTAATGTGACAATACCAGTCGCACTTCATATTGTGTGTAAATTTCATGATGAATGGACTAAAAGAAATGGTCCAAAATGACTTGGAATAAAGTCTGGTTCCTTTGACTTACATTAAAAGTGAAGTATGTTTTTTCCTTTTTCTGTAAAGGTATTATTTTGGAGATACAAGGTTTTCTTCCAACAGAGATATGGACATACAGCATTTATAGTCTTACGCAAAGTTTGAATACCCCAGTCAGATTTCATGGTTTATTGACAATGCAAGTTAAGGAGTTAGCACATCCTCTACAGACATGCAGCAATGTATATTTAAATTGTGCAGGAAATTTGAAAAATGGGTGGATTTCCCCTTTAAAAACTGGCTATTAAAAATGCTCTCCATATTAATAGCCTTTCTGTGCTGTAATGATGCTTTGGTTTGCACTATTCTGAGCATTTGACTGACTAAACAGCTTGAGAGAAATTCCACATTGTTCCTCATGAAAGACTCAGTGACTCCAGAGGCGTCTTGGCCTATTTACCACAAAGCAAACAAGTGAAACGTGAAGTGAATTTCCCAAAATGTCAAAGTTGTCTACAGCAAATAGGGTTTTGACTTTTATAATTGGAAGCGGTCTCTAGAAAGCACACCTCCTTTGTTCCCACAGATGAACTTTGACCTTTCAGCGGGAGACTTACCTTAACGCTGATCGATACCCACTGCGCTGCCTCAGTGTCTGTCCCGTCACCATGGAGACGGTGGTGATCGTAGCCATCGGAGTGCTGGCCACCATCTTTCTGGCTTCGTTTGTGGCGCTGGTGGTGGTGTGTCGCCATCGCTACTGTCACCCTCCTGACCTGCTGCATCACCCAGAGTCCAAGTAAGACCTCCACACTATGATGTGGCACTAAAAGACAAACACAAATTACTTAGTATTTCATTGTTTTAACACAGATTGTTGTGTCATGTTTGCCTATTATTAATGCAGCATGCACAAAACTCCAATGCTTCAGTATTTTATAGAGTATCAATGTAATACAGTGATTATTAAAATTTTGTATTGTTTAGTATTTAATTTTTTTTGACAGGCTTTTATTGTGAGGTTTGACTATTACAGCTAGTATTGTATTGTAGACCGACATTCTCCTGCAATGTCACTTTTGTGTTGGCAGTTGGCACCGCGTTGACTGTTTGCCACTGCTGGTCCAACCTCGGACCACCTAGATTATTGTCCTGCATAGAAGCTCTATTTTTTTCCCTCTCTAATTTTTTAAATGCACAGTTTGTTTTTTTAAAATAAAAGGCTAAGACAAATATTTCCAACAACTGTGAGGGGAAAAAAAAATAATGACTAGGCCTAACGTAAAATGATTTAGCTTAAAATATTATTGCTTACATTGTGCTGGATTAAACTTATTTACTAAGCTAATTTACAAAGTATAGCTAAAGGAAGGAAGGAAAAGAAGCAAATAGGACTGAATGGAAAATGAGCGAAATAATAAGCGGAATCTCTGAGCAAAACACCAGTGGACCGCCAGCTTTGCCATCAGCGGACCACTGTCCTCTTGTAATCAGGGTGGTTAGCATTGCATTTAGTGAAGGGGGGTGAGAGAGGACCATCCCACACACCCAGACAGAGCGAGACCAGTTCGTGCTCTCTTGGCCGCAGCTAGCCATTGCTGGGAACCGAACTCGCAAGCACCTGGCGAGAGGGCCAATGCTTAGACAGGAGCCCCACTCATGAGTCTTCAGCACTCTGTTTCCTCCTCACTCAGACCCACAGTGGATCTAATCGGAGCAATGGAGACTCAGAGTGAGCCATCAGAGCTGGAGCTGGACGATGTGGTCATCACCAACCCCCACATAGAGGCCATACTGGAGAATGAGGAGTGGATCGAGGATGCATCGTACGACCTCTTCATCAGAATCATACTGATAATGCATAATGATAATTATAGAGAAGGTATAAATCACCACAAATATCAGCATCATTTTCAACAGTGTTCTGATTAAACCTCTCTCTCTCTTTCTCTCTCTCAGTGGTTTAGTGTCTCACTGTATCTCCATTCTGAAGGTAATTTCTCATGCTTCTCAACATGCTACTGTAGAGCCTGCGGTAATCATGCATGATGAGTGCTATGAAATGTGTTGTCACTGATAGATTTATTCAAATAATGGGTATCGTTTGCATACAGATATGCCACACGCTGACAGAGAAACTTGTTGCTATGACAATGGGCTCCGGAGCAAAGGTGAAAGCACCGGCCAGCCTTAGTGACATCATCACGGTGGCCAAACGTATAAGCCCAAGGTAAACGAGCAAACCACATGCCTTATCGAGCTGTATTCATGATAGTGTTGTAATAGCCTATATAATGCAACGGCCTTTAATTATTGGCACCCTTGGTAAAGATGAGCAATAGAGCGCTACGAAAGATATGTATGAAAATTATATATGGATCATTCTACTGAACTGGTTCAAGATCAGAGTTGAAAACACATTTTGGACTTCAGACTAAAATCCTTTTGCTTTGAGTCACCCTATAGCTTAATTATATTTACTTTATTAAAATAAATGATTAAACGTTCCATTCCACTTAAAAACACTAACTGGTACATGACTGGCAAACACAGCTTTGAACAGTTATACACTCACAAAATCAGTTTTAATTACAAGAAGTTCAATTAATTTTGGGAAGTATATGTTTCAGTAGTGACAATTCTTACTGTTACACACTGATTTTCAGACTTTGGGATACAGTTATGTCAAAACAATGGTATCTAAATGCTAACCATGTGGTCATGAGGGCCAGGGATGGAGTCTCACTTCCTGCTCTAAAAAGCAGGGGCATGGCTAAAATAAGGCTCCACCTATGAAATAAACTATGGCCACATCCAAAATCGTATACTACTGTATCATACATACTTTACTAATGAATGCACCTCTAATGGTACTGTTTGGTATGGTAGCATGTGGTTTTAGACAGCATTTGTGTTTCAGGTTTTAAGCTAGTACCACACTGGAAGTCAAACTGTGGACTGCACCAAAGAAAAGAACAAAACAAGATCTACCCATGCATACCTACACTGAAACAAAAGGTACTTAAATAACCTACAAAAGGAAACAACAGCTAACTACTGGCCAGTAATCAAACGTACATGTGGCGGTGCCCACCCTCTGACCTAGGGAACTGGACAGAGTGGTCTTCTATGTGGTGAGAATGTATAGATGTGCCCCTCTTACCTGTTTGAAACCCCAGGTGTTACAAACAATCTCTTGTAAAACAAAAGTTAAAAGGATGCAAGTAAAATACCAAAAGTAAAGCACAAGACAAAGTCTGGTAAACTAAGTTAAAAGAAGCGCAAAAAGCCCTGGTAAAATACCTAAAACAAAGGCTTTCTTTTAAGGCTTAAGCTCCTCCCCCCAGTTACACCAGCCAGGCCTCTGATTGGTCAGAGGTACTCCTCACATTGACTGATTGCAAAGCAGGTACACCTGTGAAGGGAAAGCATGGACGAAAGACAGACACAAAAACCCAAAAAGCGTGCTTACATGTAACAATGTTAAATCTAAATCTTTTAACCTTAAAGGTAATAAAAAAGATCTGTAAAAAAAAAAACAGACAAAATTTAAATATTTTCACAAGTCACCTTGCAATAGAAAGCACCCTATACATTTTTACTGTGGGACTGCAGTGTGAACTATTTCAGTAGAATGGTCACATATAGGGCCTAAATTCGGTAGAATGGTCACATATAGGGCCTAAATTCAGTAGAATGGTCACAAATTGGGCCCAAATTCAGTAGAATGGTCATATATAGGGCCCATATGACAAAGCATTTGCTGTTTGTTAACTTTGTATTGTCTGATTTTTATCAGTGAGATAAAAAAACTGGTTCACAAATAAATGTTAAAAATATTGGCATCTTTACATTCTGTTCTTTACGCTACCTTCATTTTCCAAAATAGTAGTACTCGTCCTGTTATGCTGGGTGAGTTGAAAGAACACATATAAAGAGATTTGAGGCCATTCCTCCATATAAAATCTCTATAGATTATCTGACAATTCTGCAGTGCTGTAATTCATCTGTTTATCTCACTCTGCCAAGCTGCCATGACAGGTGGGCCCATAGTCTGTACAAATGAGCATGTGCATATGTGTTTGAGGCTATTTATGAACGGCGCAGCATGTTTTTCTGCTGTGGAGAATATAAAAATACCTTCTGTAATTAACAGGGTAGATGATGTTGTTCGGTCAATGTATCCACCGCTGGACCCCATCCTCCTCGACGCCAGGTGACTATTTACTTTACCATTTTTCCATCAATACTGATGATGGCAGCTGTGAACAGATACCTACTGCATGAGCAGCACAGAACAAATCTATGGGTTTAAAAAAAGGGAAACTCCACCAACTTTTCAAATTTTTTACACATTTAAATGGTTAAGATGTAAACAATGTCATTCAGAGTGGTTTGGTGTGGAATATTCTGTTCTAGAGAAACTTGCAGAGTCAGAAATGTTCACAGTGATGGTGACAGGAACTAGAACGCTGAAGAGTTTGAGAGTTTAAAGCTCCCTCACAGAAAGTCATTACATGAAATGGTTAAATATTTGCTGCTTGATGTCTGAGTCTGTTTGACGATAAATTTGTGATAAAATTTTGGCCTAAAATGAATGTTATTCCATTTATTTTAATCCATTCATGGCAGAGGGGTATATGTAGGGTCTTGTGAGGCAAAATAGTCCCCAAAGAAAATGTATTTCTTTTTAGATTTTCCACTACTTTACCATCATCAGCATTGCATATAAAAACTCAGAAAACATGTGTAGGTAGTTTTGGAGAGTAAATTCAATGGCTATATTTGTGTTGTATATATCATGATCCCTGCTTCCTATCAACGCCACTGTATACATTAAACCACTCTGAATGACGATGTTTACATAGCAATGAGGGATTTTTGCAAATATTTTGAAAAAATGGGTGGAATTCCCCTTTAAAAGGATAGTGTCATATTTCCACTTTCCATAAATGTGGTAAAGAAAAATTAAATTTTGTAAAATTAGTAAATGTGCTGAACTATTGCTTTAAATTTAACAACAGTCCTCCTGCATAAAGTCTGACATGGAGGAAGGCTGTGTTGCGTAATGTTTGGCACAGAGAATGACTTTGCCATGCTCATTCTGCTGTAAGTCTTTATTTGTCATAATTGTTTTCCTTCAGGGCCACCGCCCTGCTGCTGTCTGTCAGTCACTTGGTGCTGGTGACACGGAATGCCTGTCACATGTCCGGCAGCATGGACTGGATCGACCAATCTCTGCACGCCGCTGAGGATCATATGGTGGTGCTGAGGGAGGCAGCTTTAGCTTCAGAGCCCATAAGAAGTCTACCAGAAAGAGAGCAGTCGATCTGAGTCACACACACATAAAGTGGCTATAAAAAGTCTACACACCCTACACATTATCAAAACGTTTTGTGATGTAGAGCCAGAAATGAAGATAAATCAGTTCTGACAGTTTTTTAATGTTTAATGGATCTTTAAACCAACAATGCCCTGGTTGCATAATTGAACCCTGGTTGTGGTTTGTTCAGAGGAAATGAATCACATTCAGAATAATGACCAAGATGACAGCCTAAACCTGTAATCAATAAAAAGTCATTCTGATTAACCTCAAACAAAAATCAGCTATTCCTGTAGCTGCTCCTAGGTTTTGATGATTGCATTCTTCTAGGATACATAATCTTACTGTTAAAAGTTTCAGAGAAAAGCGTAAAAAATATCAAAAGCATTGGATGTTCCATGAAGCACTATGAAGACTCTCATCAATAGATGGAAAAAATGTGGCACCACAGAGACACTGCTGAGGTCCTGAAAATCCTCAAAGGCTGATGACAGGACAAGAAACAAACTTATCAGGGGGTGTTTCCAATAGCAACATTTAAAAGCTGGAGGAATTTCTGGTAGATACTGGGTACTCTTTGCATGTGGTAACAATCCCTCATTTTTCTGCACAATCTTGGCTATGTGTCATTAAATATGTCACTAAATCCCATTTAAAGTTTGCAAAAAATATATTACAGTTTCTGGCCTAAATTGTAAAAGATACATTTGACACGACGACACAGCTCATCCGTGAAAAAATACCATACATACTGTGAGGCATGGTGGTGGCAGTATCATGTTTTAGGGCTGCTTCTCTTTTGCAGAGGCTTTTGTCAAAATAAATGAGATAATGACTAGCTGTAAAGCACAACACCTGCTCTCTGTCAGAAAACTGAAGATGAAGGGGAATTTCTCCTTTCAGTGTGATAATGATCCCAAGTTACATCCAACAAGAAATGGTTTTGAAAAGGAAGATCAGTGTCTGAGAATGGTCCAGTCAGAGTCCAAACCTCAAGCCCATAGAAAAACTGTGAAATGACCTAAATCAGGCTGTGCACAGGAGATCACCTGGCATTCTGAAGGAGCTTGAACTTTTTACGCAAGGGATAAAAAGCCAGGTGTAAAGACTAATTTACTTAGTTTTGTTGGTTGTAAGATTGTATTAAAGATGATAACATGTGTTGATTTCTGGCTTTATATCACAAAAACAAGGCTGTGTAGACTTTTACTATCCAACATTCAGTATGGTTAAGAAAAAAGCCTACACAGCTCCCCATGGAGTGGACTAGAGTATGACTCCTAAAAAGCAATACACATATCCTTAGCGTCTCTTTGCACAGTTTCTTTTTCTCCTTCTCAAGTTATCTTTTTTGTTCTTTTTTAATCTGTTACATTCTGTGGTAGTTACAATCACTCTCTCCTCTCAAGTTTACTTTCACCATTAGTGCAAATAAGCCAAAACAATCAGGGGCTCATTTACAATCTTTATTCCACATCTGATTCCGCCTCTGTTATGGCAAAATAGTTAAACATGTATCTACTCATGCATATTGTTATTCAGATTGTTATTCAGGCCTCTTATTTTTGCTGCTTTTATTACTGTAGCTTGTAGGATCACGATGGAATAGTGCATAAAGACTGTCAGTACGTACAGAAATGTATTGAAATTCCATTTTATCTCCAATAAAGTCTTGGAACAGGCAGTCGTGATCTCTTAACAAAAACTCCAAATTGTACAATTGATAATGCAAACAAGGCAAACTGTTTTTCCCTTGTTAGGATTCTCTAAATATTTGTATATAGTGAACACTCAATATAAAGATTTAAGATGTTCAGTATTTTGCTTTATAGTGTCTTAATGTACCATTTATGGCCTTATTGGGTGTAATTAACAATACACAAAATTCACATTATCATTTATCTACACACACACACACACACACACACACACACACACACATACACACGGCTTTCTCTGTGGCCCATCTGACTGAGGTGGCCTGTAATCTTGGTCTTGAGTCACATGAAGTTTAAATCCACTCTAATTCTCACACTTGACCACACTGATCCCTCCAAACACAAAGAGCAGACTTACAACCAGCACAAACCTAACTAAGCGTACTGAAGGAATACCTCTGCATTTTTCATCCTAATCTCTATCTGCCGCAACTGTAGCATACAGTTTGTTACTATGGACAATAATTTCTGTTCATAAAAAAAGCACAGAACACACTTACAACACAAATCTTAATTCCAGAAAAGTTGGGACAGTAGTTGAAATGGTAACAGAAAGAAAAAGCAGTGATCATGTTTCACTTTTTTGTTTATTTGTAAATATATCCAGGCAAATATATATGAAGGGCCTGGGTTCTCACCATGTCTGCGTGGGTTTCCTCCAGGGACTCCAGTTACTTCCCAAAGACATGCAGTCAAGCCAACACTGTAAACTGCCCCTAGGCGTGAATGTGTGTTTGCCCTGTGATGGACTTGCGACCTGCCCAAGGTGTTTCATGCCTTCTGCCCAATGACTGCTGGGATAGGCTCCAGCACCCCCATGACCCAGGAGGATAAGTTGCTTAGATAATGTGTGTGAGTGTGTATGTGTAAATACATCCTCATTCCAATTTGATGCCTGCAGCATTTTTCCCAAATTTGGGGGAGCATGTTTTTTTCCTGTTCTTCCGTTATGAAGGTGTTCAGCTACACAGCCATATTGGGCCTTCATTGTTGTGTTCTGTGCTTCATAATGCAATATACGTTTTCAATGGGTGACAAGTATGGACTGCAGACAGGCCAGTCTAGCATCTGCACTCTCTAAACATGCAGCCCTCTGTTGTAAGATGCAGAATATGGAAATAAGCATGGACATCCCTGAAAAAGATGTTGTCTAGAAGGCTGTGTATGCCTTCCAGAATTAATGGTGTCTTCACAGATGTGCAAGTTGGGCAATAATGCCACCCCATTCAAAGACAGATCCTGGATTTTATACTGATAACAGTCTGGATTGTCCTTTTCTTCTTTGGCCCAGAGAACACAATGAGAGTTATTTCCATTAACCATCTGGAAGCTTGATTTGTCAGACTACAATACAAGTTTCTCTTGTGCATCAGTCCATTTCAGATGAGTTTGTGCCCAGAGAAGCTGAATATGTACATTGGCTACTATTAAAAGTGTGTTTTCTGTTATTTTCTTTTCTGTTGTACAGGTAAATTGTTGTCTATGATCATTTCCTGTACTGATGCGGCAGATAGAGATTAGGTTTAAAAATAGTTGAGTATTTATTTAAACATAAGCACTAATACTACTAAACACTGAATATGACACACATCCAGTAAGTAGAACTATAATAACAGACCAAACACATTACTAACAATTACTAACTACACATTTAAAGAGCTGACTAGTGCTTATTCCCCATCATAAACAATGATCATTATACGTTCAAATCACTGCCTCATGTTCACATGCCACACACACACACTTGCACCCATTAAGTCATAGGCATTTTGGCTTATATTTCATAACAGTGTCCTTAACGGCCTAAAGCACTTTGCCAGTTTAGTCATTATTGACATCATGTGATACTGGCTTACCAGTAGGGGTAATTTTATTGCATGTGTTTTTGATTTTATTTGACCACCTTTATGATCTTTAGTAGAGAATATAAGGCCTTTGACACTGAAACAAAAGCTCACTGGAGCCAGTTTTCCTTCTTTTTTAGTTTTCACAGGTCTATCCATCATCTTTCATTTGATTTGTTTTTGCAGGGGTTTTTATGAGCACTTGTCGATTTTTCTTTATTGCTGTTTCTACGGTAAAAATGCTTTGAATTCATTTGATTCAAATGTACATTGCTTCCTCATGTACAAAATTGTTACTGACAACATTGTCAAAAGTAAACAAGGTAAACAAAAATCAATATCACCATAATAAACTAAAAGATGTGCTGTGTTGGTAGAATTGAGTCAATTCAGAGCACTATTTCTTAATGCAAGCTGCTGATTCACTGCTTTTCTTTCCTTATGAATCCACATGTACAGCTAAATTAAAAAGTTTCATAGAGAAAAGATTTCAGTCCAGTTTATTTATTTTATGTTCTTAATCAGATTCAGTTTCAGGCTTAGTAAAATAACCACACGCCAGTGTTTTATTCACATGTTTTCCCAGTTGCTGGAGTGGAGGGCTAGCAGGGGAGACAGAGAAAGACAGAAGAGATAGATGTGTTTGGCTGCAGAAGAAGAGAGAATGGAAAGAGAAGAAGCATGAAGTCGTGTATTTTGTGTCGTGAGTGTACGCAGTCCTCTCCAGCAGGGCTTTTGGCCAAAATGAGTGGATGAACATAAGGCGCTAAAGTGACCACACTCAAAAGACCCACACATTCGCTCTCTCTTAAAAACAGTCACTAGGTTTACACTGTACAAGAGAAAAGTGTCACGTTACAAGAAAATAGAACCCTCTCAAAAAAAAACAGGCAATACAAAAAAGTCCTCTTTTTAAAAGATTACTTTTTGGTGACAACATGGAGATTCAACACTGCTTCAGTAGTTCTGTCCTTAAAGGAGTCCTGCAGGGTTCAGTACAGTCCTTTGCTCTTCTTCAGGTTTAGCTGCTGCAGGTCTGATAGAGAGTTGTAGTCGTTCCTCTTCATTCCCAAAACCACCTGAGACAAATGAGGTTTTTTAAGCAATCAGCAAAGTACACAAATGACCCAATACTGTTAATAATGAGGTTCACCAGATAGTTTAACAGTCTCAGTACTTGATAAAAGCTATAAGGCCCATCATGAGGACCACTTTTAGAAAGCACAGTCTGTATGATCAAACGCAAACCTATGAAAACTTCAGTCCTAAGGCTTACTTGGAAGTCATGGTCAGACAGGTAGGTCTCCAGGTGCAGGGGGTCCACTCCCTCTGGTAAAGGCCTCTTCAGCAGCTCTTGCACAGTGAACTGAGTCCCGGTGAGAAGAGCCAGAGCGTCCCGGACTAACGTTAGCTTCTTGCGTGCTGAGACGTCCTGCTATATATGCAAACATACACCTCAGTTTTGCTCATATAAACACAAAGCTGATATACTTTCTTTATCATGATCATACAAGAAATGACTGAAATAATAACTGTTAATAAGGTCTCTCATAGTTTAAATATCCAAAATAGTAGTTTTAAAAAACATTTGATAAGTCAGACGTTTAAGGTGTCAACAGAAAGATGATGAGGCACTGACCTGTGTTGCTGATCTCTCCCAGGACGGGAAAACATTAGTGAAGGTCAGAGGCTCTGCCCCTTCATCAATAAGATAAGCCATTGGAGGCCGTCTGGGATTTCTCTCTGTATTACAACACACATAATTATTTAATCATAGAAATAAAAAATAAAAAATGTATTTCAATAGTAAGTAGTACTAAAAAAACTTTTAGCTCCATCATTTCCACCTTTTTAATCCACCATATCTGGGTTTCCTCTCACCTCTGCAGTACTGAAGGGCAGTCTCCATAGCGCATTTCCTCTCCGTGTCCCAGTGGGGGCGCTGTGAGTCTGGAACAGTGCTGCTCTGCCACAGATACACCTCCATAGAGTTATCCAACAGGAACAGAGCTGTTGAGAGAGAAACAGAGTGAGTCAGAGTCTGATTCAGTTCTATAAACACCAAAACACTGTATGTAATCATATATAATGGGTTTTGGGTGCCCCTGGTCAAATGACACGTTTTGTTGATTTTCTGAGAGTAAATAAATTAACACATCCTTTTACAGAGAACATACTCCTGCACAATTTAATGCACGATTACTTGATTTGATGAATTCAACACATTTGATTAATCTAATTATTTGATAAATTAAATACATTGTGGAAAAATTAAAACCTAAAATGTGGCCTGTGCAAAAATTACAACATAATTTATATTTTATGTTAAACTCAGCAAGTAAATCAAATTTGTACACTAGATTTTGCAGAACAGTGCCGTATTTAAGTATGTTCTCTCAGAGCATGAATCAACAAAGCGTACTTTACCGGGCATATTAACCGTTTAAATTCTGTTTGTGTGATTGTGCAGCTGTAGGTCTGTCTACTTCAAGGGTCTCAATCTCAGTCCCAGTGACCCCATGCTATGCATATATGAATCAGCTGTGCTAGATTAGACAAAGCACAAAAGCAGTGAAGGGCAGTCAGTACTGGGTTTGGGACCCCTGTTCTGCTTGTGAATGTGTATGTACATCACAGTTCAAAAGTTTAATGATATTAAACCAATTTTGTTGCAGATACATGTATACTAGCATTCTACAACTTTGTAAGTTTGAAACAGGCACATATCAATATAACAATTTTTTATCATGATAATAACCTAAACTTTTATGATGGTTTTACGATATTATCACAAAACTGCACTTAAAAAAAAGATACATTCTGAATGTCATTTTGTAAAACAGCAATTTACATGTGCAACATTTACAATAATAATCATTAAAAATATAAACTGTCCAGAATAATGATTACTGCATATCATTATCATACAGGACTATATGCACTCAGGTCTGGAGTTGAGAACGCTGCTATAGTACACTGAGACCTATGAACGCTGTGAAGCAGCTCCAATATAAAATATGGCCCAGAGATTTTATAAGGGCGGAACACTGCTAAGAAAAAAAGTAGCATTACTGCATTAAAATGATGTATAAATTGATGCATTGTTTTTTCCTACAAGTCATGCATGTGTTCAACTGTACACAAGAAATAAGTTAGTATGATGTAAGATATGCTAATTATTAAATGCAGCAGCATCAGATTCTCGTAACTGATTGGTAACTACCCAGATTGTAGATTTATACCACTGATGATGCTGACTGTGTCACTTTCCACAACTGGGATGGCCAGAAGGGTGGCATTGCTTCATTCCAGGGTGGCCATATATATATATATATATATATATATATATATATATATATATATATATATATATATATATATATATATATATATATATATATATAGATAGATAGATAGATAGATAGATAGAAAGATATAGATATAAAATAAAATAGTAAATAAAATAACAAATATCAATGTGGCAATCCTCTCCAAACTCCTGAAAGGTAGCGTATCTGTTTAACTCTCACCTGGCTGTTGCACGGAGTATAAGCAATCCTGAAAGAATGGCATCGCCGAGACAACCCCAGCTGCTCGGGATGGGCTTAGTAGCTCCTCCCCTTTGAATGTTCCTGATTGGGCACTTAGGTGGAAAAGGCGGGGAGTAAAGGTGTACTTCCCAGGATCTGAAATGAGATTAAAACATTCTGATTAGGACACAGAGCAACTATAAAGAAAATGAAAGAGTGAACTCTATGAATCTCATTATTATGCATTATGATTCTTCTTATATCAGATGCCCAGTAACAACATGCACTTCAAAGCATTACCTTGTAGCATGCAGTCATAGGATTTCCTGTCCCGTGGACCAACAGCATTCCAGAACTCTGCTGGCTCCACCCCTTCTTCTACCTCCCTAATGTTCAGACTGTGGCCACTGCTCAGTCCCAACTCAGGAGGGCACCTAATGCACATTCATCACTTTTAAATTCATGTAAGGATTTTGTGATGTTAAAAACTGGAAAAAATCTCTCTAATTTTTTTTAATCACACACTTTATAGCTTGGCTTCTTAACAGAAGGGGTTCAAAGCAAAAACCATGTAAATAATAATAATAATATTAAAAAAGAGCTTTCAAAAAAATGGTGATGGGGCGTCGACATACTGCCTCAGATCTACTAACACAGGGACTGCAGACGCATATTATGTTACAGTTGGATCCTTTAAAAATGGTATGTCTTCAAGTCATGATGAAGAGAAGGTTTAAGGGACTTTTAAGCCAGACACAAACATCCCTCAGAAGTGCTTTACATAAAGTCTCCTTTAGGGGTCTGCCAAAGACCCTCTGAAGCTGAGATTTTTTTCAACAGTACAGTAATAGGTAGGATAACAGGATAGTAATAAGGGCTGGTTTCCCAGAGAGGGATTAAGCCTAGCCAGGACTAGGCTTAATCCCTGTACAGGAAACCAGTCCTAATCACATATGTATGACATTACCTATGTATGCTTTGTTGAATTTCTAAGTGGAAATAAATACAGAGCTGGAGAGAGAACACACCTCTGCACATTTTAATGCACAGTTACAGCAAATACACATACATTGTTAATCACATAGGTTTATAGTTGATGCTCTATAAGTGATGCGAGGGTGTGTGCACCAGAAATGGTGCAATCATGGCGTCCCTGACCCCCGTGCAATGGCCCCGTTGTTGTGCACCTCATTCAAAATAAGCGAATTTGAAGGGAGATTTGCTGAGCAGGTTCACTTCTACAGGTGTTTGTATGACAGCTCTATCACACCATATCACAGAGAAAACGTCAGCGACGGAAGTGCTTCTATAAATGCTAACATTTGCTTCAGGAGTCTTGCGTGGCACGTCCTGTATGTTACACCTTAGCTAGCTGAGATTATGAACAACATGTTAGTAAAGCTAGTCCACGTGTGGACAGATACATCTGGGTCTCTGCGCTTTTTGCGATTTAGACTCTTCAGTGCTTCAAATGCGAATAGATGACGAGCTGCAAGAGGGAAACGTCCAGGGAATTCCATGATTTTTCCAGCACTTATTATGTTCCATGACTTTTCCAAGCCTGGAAAACCAAATTTCTATATTCCATGACTTTTCTAGGATTTTCATGACCGTACGAACCCTGCTGTAAGCTTTCTGCTGACCTGCTCAGCCTACTCTAAAGAGGGTGAACTATCCAGTTACAGAGGATATCATGTGAAAACCACTTCAAGACAGCCTGATAACAGCACTGAGTCATGTTGAACTAGCAATTCATCATCTATTTGCATGGGACTGTATGGGAACGGATTTCAACTATAACAACTTTCATTATTGTCTTCTGAAGCTCTGCACTTTCTTGAAAGGTTTATGCTTGGAAGATTCCTGTTCTTGCCATACTATCATCTTCACTCAGCTGTAGTGACAGCCGCAAACTGCACGTTGTCTCAGAATGTCTCAGAGGCATTAAGTGGGACATAAAACAGTAACCAGATAAAGAGTAAGCGCACTGAATCTGAGACCTTTTTACCCCAGCATTTCTAATCCTGTACAGAAATATGTATGTAGTTTATATATGTTGTTCTTTTATGAGTGTAAGGTGTGATTCTTACATGTGTGTGAGCTGTTGGACGGCGTGCTTGGCAACCTGACGTGCAGTAGCGTGAGCCTTACAGCCATGCCACAGGTACAGCACCCCCTGCTGGCTGTTCAGTAGTATCAGAGAACCACGAGAGCGCAGACTGGAGGTACAGCACTCCACTTCCAACAGACTGGCCTCCACTGGCACAGCACCCCTCACACAGAACAGGCGCCAGCCCCCTGAAACACACAAGTCGTCCGTTTCAGACGGTTAATGATAATGACATACACTGCCCACCAAAATTCTGGGAATTCATTGTTTGTATAATGTCACGAAAACCAATTTATTTACATTTGTCCACCTGTTCAGCCTACAGCAGTTTAGTCCTGCCCTTAATACTGATGTTATAAGAGTTTTTCAACCGCACTGCTTTTTGATTGAAGCAGAATATAGGACAGCCAATCAGAACAGAGATGATTTACAAACACAAATGCCAAAAGAAGTTGAAGGGGTTGTGTGTGGAGGGGTCACTGGGCCATCCATCCCCCCACAAAACTATAGAGGGCAGGGGAACGTCCCTCCAATCCTAAAGCAAAGCTCCAGAAAAGCCATGGTAGTAAAATAGCACAGAACAGTCTGAAAACAGCTGCTATAATAAAACTGAATTTAACAGTTGGAAAACAGATTTTAAGCACACAGGGACGTCATGGCAACCAGAAAAACTGTGTGGTTTTCCGCATGTGCCTGTTTCATTTGCAGGCTCTTTCCCTGTCATAAAGAGTTGCCACACTAGCGATTCAATTGGACTAGTTTTAACAAGTTGTTGTGGGTGAAAATTATAAAGTCATAGGGAACAATTTTTGGGCTACTACCTAGATATAATGCATCTGGCGATAAAGGTCTGATACTTAAATTGTCAAAATGTTAAAAAGTGAAAATGAAAATAAATCATCTTATAAACGTTTATTGATCCTAGTGTGGAATAGCTGGCATGGATATGCAGACACATACAGTAGAGAAGGGGCAAGAAGAGCATGAAATATTTGATGGAACATCACTTAAAGTCGGCTTAACGTCCACATTCTTACCATTCTTAACTTAAAAGAAGGCATGAATGCATGTAATATCACAATACGATATCTCTGTAAGTCGACACTCCAGCTATTGATTAAAAGACTGTTTTTAGAAGGACAATAAAAGCATTCCTGAGTAATACAAGTTGACAGAAGAAGTGTTAAGATGTAAAAAAACCCAGAAAACCGTTATTAAAATAATCTCTCTACTAGTTTTGACAGACATTTTGGGTTTGTTTGCATGGCATGCTGGACTTCTACAGCAGGTAAAAACACAAACAGTACAAAGTTTACCTGATTTGATTTTGTGCTTTCATTGTGTTTTAAATTAATTTAGTTTTTTTTACATTAATCGATTTACCTACTTTGCCGGTACATAATCAGCTCAGAGTAATGCAAGATGACAGCATTGCAAAGCGATCACATTATCAACGTTAACTTTAATTTTTCTGGTAGTTTCTAAGTACTTTGTTAGTCATTTACAAAAGTTAAAGTTGACTGGAATGCACTTCAAATTACTCTGTTTGTTGTTTGAGTTTCAATTCTCTCGGCCACAACGAAGACTTTGGCTGATATAGCTGATCCCCAAAGCCAGCAAAGCTTTCCATTTTAGTTCCTTGCAGCCAATGTGGGGGAGGAACTAAAGTAAAAAGGGTGCTGTTTATTAAAGGTAAAAGCATGCATACCTGCCTGACTGTGTGATCTCTTTCTTATATGCAGTGTAAAATGTCCATCATTGGATAAGAACAAATTTGTAGGGGTCATGCAAAAATTAAGTACAACTGTTTTTGGTGTGTAAAACCAAACATTATTAAGTGCATCTCAGGGGGGAAATAAAATACAAGAAAGTGTATGGGCCCTTTAAGTACAGCAAACCAACAAAGAAAACACGCTCACTTGTAATGAAAACATTTAAAATGATAGGTGCCCCCAAACTTTTGACAGGCAGCGCAAATGAGGAAATAACTAGATTATTACAACATTGATGATCTGTAATTCAGAGCCATGTGTTTGTAACATTATTTGTTGCTTTAGTATATGTGTTCCAAAACACTGAAAGTGTTATTTTGCTGGGGTTTTACCTGAGCAGTTACTGCTGTGTCCTCTGTGAATGACCAGCCCTCCCTGGAACAGCTGCAGGAAACACGGCGGCTCCTGTCCCTCTTTTATAACCACCCGAGGCTCACTCTGAATGGTCAGTGGTGGAGACAGGTCCTGCTCCCTGATCTGCGAGTGGCGTCCCCGCCAGATGAACAGGGCGGAGCGTTCCTGGCCCTCGATCTGATCTGCTGCAGAGAGGTTCAGAACAAATTTACATATGTATAGATCCATAGATAAACCCTTAAAATGCATCACTGAAAAAAGACAAAGCGTAAAAACGGCACTGAAACTCAACAAACTCGATCAAAAAACATCAGCAAACTCACCCCTTGCACTTAGGTGGTACGTCCAGCGTGTAGCATATGTGTTGGCCTCATGTAACTGACCCAGGCTCTCTGGAGCCACCTTGCAGTCCTTCCCCATGTTGATATGCCAACTCTCTACAGAAACAGTGCTCAGCTCCGCCTGCTGACCGTTGCTAAGGGTAACCAAGTCCCGACCTCTTTGTACGTCAACTCCTTCCAAAATGACCGGTCCATCCCCTGAAACACACTTTCCAGCAAGCAGAGCTTTGGCATCACATGACCACTCACCAACAGGACAAGTAGCAGGCAGAGGAGTCTGTAGAGAGAGAGAGAGAGAGAGAGAAAGAGGGGGGGTCAAACTGCTTATAAACAACATTGTGACAAAAAAGTACACACAAAATAATTATTTTAATGGGATGTATGCACTGTGTATATAGAACTTCTCTTTGCTCATGTGGAGTGAACAGAGTGTATAGTTCCACGTCACATGCAGCAATGAGACCTGTAAGCTGTGGTATGAGTGCAAACAGCTGAAAGAGCAGTGATTTTGTTCTTAATGATAGTTTGTTCATTCATCGTCAGGCCCTTTCACACAAGATTTGTATGGATGAAAATGAATGGATGCAATTTTTAATGCACTGAAACCTTCACATCAACTCTAATGTGCTTTTCTATTAAACATGGGATAGACAGCAGTAGAAGAAGAGGCCGAAAAAATGGATCTATTGAGTAGTAAAGTTATCAGTCAGTGCAACTCAAAGACGCAGTCACTGGCTAACAGCCCATTCTGCTAAAAAACCTGACTCACAGGAGCTACAGCAGTGGTGTGGGTATGTGTGTGGGTATGTGTGTGTGTGTGTGTGTGTGTGTGTGTGTGTGTGTGGAGTTTGAACACAGCTCTACTTTGGATCTCTCATGAAAAGGCCTCAAGGCTTTATCGCACCCTGCTGCCACTGAAAACTGAATATGTGGTTTTGAATAATGATTGATATTTATTGATCATTTTCTCCTCATTGATTGTTTTTTTTTTAAATTGTTCATCAACACAGCCCTGTTTTTGTGTTTCAGCAAAATGATAAATTTTTTTTATTACATTGTGTGGTCGCTTATCCACACTTTATTGAGACTTCAACTGATTAAATATAGACACAAGACAGCGTAAAGAGCGCTGTGGGCAAAAAACACAATTTAGCACACACAATGCTCCATCTACTCAAAGCTACCTGCTGCTCATAGTAATCACAGAAAGGCTTGAATAATACTAACAGACTGAATGTAAATTGTTGTGTAGAACTCACTAGCAGGACTAAAAGCCTTTTCAACACCAAGGAAATCACATGTATAAAGGGTGTAACTACAGACTTTCTTGGATGATAAACATTAAACTGCTATTTTTCACCCACAATCATGAACGTTGTGCAATACTATTAGAGAATGAAGCTCACCGGTGCCACTTCATGCACAGGAGGAGTGCTCTGCTCCTTATTCACTCCTCTCTTTTCAGACCAATCTGCAAACTTCAGCCTGAAGAGAACCGTCTCGTTCTCTTCAAACACACGGCCAAACAGAGCCCAGTGTGGTCGGCCCACGTCCTGCCTGAATTCACACACAAAAAAATGCCTGTTTATACAATATTTCCTCGTATAATATTTCTAGGTTTATATCCTGATTCAAATGGGCTTAAACAAACATGGAGTCATGGCCTAATTCTCAGTTCTCAGGGCTTGAATCAGTCATTTTGGTGTTTTTCTACCCACCCCTGAGAAAATTACATGCCAAAATATCCACTGTAGTGGTCTAATCATTTTAGTCCACTCCGGATGTCACTTTGCACTGGAAAAAAGGTTTCTGACCACAGCTATTCTGTATATTTTGTATCCATAGTAAACACTTCTGGAACTGTAAATACTTCAAAGGAGAGTCTCTTAAACAATTACTTGGTCTTGGTATTAAGACTTCCCCATCCTCTCTACACTGGGAGAGCATTAGCAGATGCAGAAAGAAAAAGAGAATCAGAAGGCGAGATCCCACAGCTACAGGTATTAAACATAACTTTATATTCATGTATACACAGTGCTCTCTAACTTTTCTAGAATTAATGAACATGTATTATTCATAGCCATCCATGTTCACAGAAAAAATACAACCCACTAGAAACTCGTCCTGCAGTAGTTCTATTCCCCTGCAGATGTGAGAGTTTTATCACTGAGGAGACGTGTATGTATAAAAACAAAAACATCTGTGAGAGTAATCTCACCTTTGAATTTGGGCATTGCTGCCAAATGGGTCCAGTGGGTTGATCCTGCAGTTGCTGTAGTCATAAGCTCCAGTCCACACCTGCTGAGCCAACTGCAGTGCCAGTTTCCTGTCACTAGGGGAAACATCTTTCCCATGCCACAGGTAGAGCTCACCGCCAAAGTCAAATAGCAGAGTCTGAGAAGGAAGAAAAAGAGAATGTAGCACTAATCGATTATTCATTTCCATATATTCTTATCATAACCAATTTTAGCCAATGAAACCTGACCTGGCAAATGTTTAATTTATTTATTTAAACAATAACGATGAGAACATAATAAACTAAATGAACATCTCAGTGAAAAATCAAATGTACATAATTATCCATTTACCCCAAATGTAGCTAAGCAGTCAATACAAGTTTGCATCTTTGGTTCGTCTTAGACGCTAAAATCACTAACATGTAATGGAAGTTTAGACTCCACATGAGAGTTTAGTGCAAAATGTATGTCATCACATACTTGCCTCCAACTAGAGCTTAAATTATGTCATAATGTTATCTATAAAAATGGACAGAAAGTATGTCACATAGCTAAAAAGTAGGAGCAGTCACTTAAAGCCTGAGTTTCTGTCCATTTCTTGCTCGTATCAATTGTCCACTCAAGTTACCTACATTAGTATCACAGCTCCAGAAGCAAACTTCAGACACCAAACATGTCTTGACTGATCAACACTTGATTTAAGACATTGGTTCTCAAACTGGTCATCAGATACTCAGACGGTCCACTATTCACAACACACAGTGAGAGAGGAAAAAACATGGACAGTCTGTGTGTCCCTGTGGACCGGTTTGAGAACCACTGCTTTAGGGGTATGGTTTATTAGCAGGTGGTATTGATGGGAATGCTTAAGGAAATAAACTTGACATAAAAAGAATTATGACAAGAAAAGTTGCACAAGCTAAAGAATTTACTAGTACACTTAAATTCCGTATTAACATTACCAACAATGCTAGTTCTAGTTACAGTGCTTCGCAGTCCTACACTAGCAGGTCCAGGGTTTAAGCATTAACCTGAGAGGAGTCCAGCAGAGAGATGTGTGGTATACAGGCCCAGCCCTGCTCATGTGGGACCAGCCTGTCTCCCTGCAGTCTGTACACACAGTTTGACTCTGAAATCGCTGCCTCATAATGTTCATCATCTTCAGAACAGCCTGCAGACACACAAACACAGTTATACACCCATAATGTGTTTTATGAAGAATGCAATATTTTATAAGGAAGACGCTGATGAAGAACACTGTGACATTTTCTAACCACTGTAATGAGTTTTCCCTCCTAGAAGGTTCCAGAACTCTGCAGCCTCCTCAGTGTCCGAGTTCACGCCCTCATCCAGGTGAATGACCTCTGCTGCCTGGCAACCCAGATCCCGCTGGGTCACGACCAACGAAGCCATGGCAGACGCCTTAAACAAACCGCCAGTCAATATACAATGTATTGCCAACATGTTCAAAGTTTGATGGTACAGTAAAAATACATAGTGTCCAGTTTAGACGTAAAGGGCCCATAACCTATACTTTTCTTGCATTATTAATTTTATCCACACTTGTGCAGTCTTATGTACCCAAAATGGTCATAATTCATTTTTACTCGACCATTTTTCAACCTCTCTTTATCCTTCAGAATTAAACAGGCTCTTTTTGTAACTGTGCCTTTAAGACTGATATATGTACATTATCTCTGTTCTGACTGGCTGCCCTGTACCGTGCCTCTTTCACAAAACACAGAGCTGATACACTCCTTATAACTTCATTGTGAGTAGGCGGGGCTAAACTGCTGTGGGCTGAATAGGTGGTTCTAAGTGAATGTGTTGATCTCATGACATTAAAGAAACAATGAATTCAAACTGGTTTTTGTTTCTGTAGCTTAGTTTTCTTATACATAGACTGTATAGACTGGGTAGTGAATATTTTGAAATTTTAACAAATGTTTCCACATTACTTCAATCTCATTTATTTAAAAAGCAAGAGGAATTTGGTTTTCCATGAGTTTTTCCAAACTAGAATATTTTATAGCTTGGAAAAAATCTGATTAGCTATAAAAAATGGGTAAATACAGTAATCTCATACACTATATGGACTAAAGTACTGGGACAACTACACATTACTCCCACAAGGGCTTTTATGACATCCCATTCTAAATCCAGTGGCATTAATATGGAGTTGGTCCCCCTTTGCAGCTTTAACAGCTTCCACTCTTCTGGGAAGCTTTCTACAAGATTTTGAATGTGACTGCGGGAATTCTTGTCCATTAATCCAGAAGAGCATTTGTGAAGTCAGACACTGATGTTGGACGAGAGGGCCTGGCTCCCAATCTCCATTGTAGTTCAACCCAAAGGTGTTTGATGGGGTTGAGGTCAGGGTTCTGTGTGGGCCAGTTAAGTTCTTCCACACCAAACTCACCCAGCCATGCCGTTATGGAGCTTGCTTTGTGCACTGGGGCTCAGTCATGCTGGAACAGAAAAGGTTCTTCCCCAAACTGTTCCCACAAAAGTTGGAAGCATACAATCGTCCAAAATGTCTTGGTCTGCTGGAGCATTAAGATTTCCCTTCACTGGAACTAAGGGGCTTAAACCAACCCCTAAAATACAACCCCATATTATCCCTCCTCCACCAAACCTTACACTTGGTACAGTGCAGTCAGGCAGGTAACGTTCTCCTGGCATTCACCAGACCAAGACTCGTCCATTAGACTGCCAGATAGAGAAGCGTGATTCATCACTCCGCAGAATTTGTTTCCACTGCTCCAGAGTTCAGTGGCAGCATGCTTCACACAACTCCTCCCCCTTGTTGAAACTGCCAAGCTATGTGCTTAATTTTATCCACCTGTTAACAATGGCTGTGACCTGAACTCAATCATTAGAAGGGGTGTCCCAATACTTTTGTCTATATAGTGTAGCTCCAGGGCAAAACCAAAAAAGCGAACGAGACACCAAACATGTGTAGGTCGATTAAACACATTTGAGGTAAATCATAACAATGTGCAGAAAATTATGCATATTTGACATTTTGCCAAACACACTTACAATCATGAAAACTGTGAGCAAATTATTTTTGATTATTGTAGACAAATTATTTTCATGGTGAAAAACAATATTAACATTATAGGTAATGTAACTAAACAGTACATCATTAGTTAAGCAAACATCAGATTATAGATAGGAAGTCTGCAGTTGTGTGCCATAATATCGGTGTGTACCGTTTCTCTCTCGCTGCCGTTGGACAGCTGGCCGGTCCAGAGGAAGCACAGCGATGGAGTGACCAGTAGGAAGCAGTCACCGCTGTTCAGCGAGCGAGCCACCGGCTCCACCAAACGCACCTGCACCTTTCTCCATCCTAAAACCAGGGTAAATACTACATTACCAATGCATTTAAATGTGTGAATAAGTGCAAGCACAAACTAAATCCAGCTGCTGGATAAATTCTTAGCTCTCTATGTAAGAAACATGCAAAAAATCAAACTCCAACTATAAAAATCCTGCAACACACGGAATTCTCTAACAATAACACAAAAAGAAGAAAAAAAGAGAATAAATATTGTTTACGGCCCTGTAACTGGCTTAAGATGTTACCTTTTACATGGATTAGCATGAGGCTGCTGTAGGGCACAGTGTTGGTCTCTGAGGATGAGCCGTTAGTAGAGGCACAGTTGGAGTTCTTCACAGCTGAGGGGGAAAAGAGATTTGAGCAAAGCTGGCAAACAGTTTGATGAGAAAATTCAAGTAATCACTCAGGACAGGCTGAAAAAGT